CAATAACTGTGTTGTGCCAGAAACCTGATATATTCTGTTTAATTTGTGTCCAAAATGATCGATTTTCTAATACAGCCATACACCAACGATACATTTTATCTTCAGATAATGAATCCATAAAATAATTCACGCTTATTCTACTGTCTATTTTTGTAAAATTATCTCTCAAACAATAATAGTGGAATGATGCACTTTTCTCCTCCCATTAAAATTGAGTAAAAACAGGCCGATCAGAGACTGACTTGGATCAAACAGGATTTGGACAAAAATAAATGTCGGGCCAACCTGTCATTAAAAGACCAAAACTTTCATTTTACTATTTGAGAAACTTTTCTTGGGTCGGGTCTCAAAAATTTTCTAAAATCTTGGGGCAGGTCATAGGCAGGTATTGAAAACATGATCTGAGTTGGTCTCTGAAGCTGACAACATCACAATCTTTTAATCCACAAATATAAAACTACAAAGTGATGTTCTTTTATTTTTAGAAATTAATATTGATCAAAAATTTGCTGATAAATTACAACGTGTCATTGAACGTATAACACAATTTGGTACAATTCAACGTTTTGTTACGTCAAAAATAACCGAATGTAATATACTGATTTGTGGGCCACCCCATTCTGGTAAATCAACATTAATTAATAAGTTTTGTGGTAAATGGATGACACCTACAAGTGATGGTTTAGATTCAACTACAAAAGAAACGAAATGTTACACAAATAAAAATTCATGTAATGGTCAAACATATAAAATTAATTTTTGGGATACTGCTGGCATTGAAAATTGGAATGTTAATGATTTTTATCCATATATTAATAATGCTAAGAACCAAATTGATCCATTATGTATGATTTATTGTGTTAGTCCTGGTCAATTTACAGTATCAGATCGTTTAAGATGGTTAATTGATAGCTGTTTTGAAGAGAATATATTCTGTGCTTTAGTTTGTACTAATAAATATTTTGGTAATACATGTCAAAGAATAATGGTAGATTTAAGTGATTGTTTAGATATGTAGAAGTATAATTTAAGAGTAGAAGAAATAAATAATATTAAATATTATGTTAAAAGAAACACAAATGAAAGAATGGCTTTAATAACATCGATAAACACAGTAGCCTATGTTGATGATGGAAAAAACATTTATTTTCCACCATGTGGTGTTGATGAATTAACACTTGGTATTATGGATTCATTATCTGAAGATAAAATGTATCGTTGGTGTATGGCTGTATTAGAAAATCGATCATTTTGGACACAAATTAAACAGAATATATCAGGTTTCTGGCACAACACAGTTATTGAGAGATTTCAACGTTTTGTACGTATTATTTAAATATTAATTAATGGTGTGCAATTTATTCACATTTCATTCGATTTAAATATTGATAAAAAATTTTTACTGTACAACAGAAACTTCGATCTTTGACTTAACAAAAATTCTATTGTTATCGAAAGTACTTTTTGAATGATTAAAAAACAGCTTTTGGTTTTAAGACATGTCTTCGGAGTTTATTATTTTGTAAATACCGACAACACTTTTATCGTTTTTTATCCGTAAATACTGTTTCAAGGGGTTTGTAAAATACATCCAATACAAAAATAATTTTAATTGTGATACGAAACTCTGTTTGGTTTCACAAAAGGGGTCTTCAAAACGAGAAAAAGAGTTAGCAAATTGCGTGCTAAAAAGCTCAGATCTCTCTTTGTCATCGTTGCTAGCTTTAGCTGACCATTTTGTTCAAAACGTCACTGTGGTTGGAAAATCTGACTGATCTTTACGAAACTTATTAATAAATGACCAAAACCTGCAATGATCCTTAAACTGTGATATAACTGAGTAATAATTTTGGAATGGCCACTCCTGAGCGAGTCAAGCAGGGGCTATTGACACCCCTGAAAGTGGCAATAAAGAGCTATTGGCACTTCATCAGAGTGTCAACAAGAGGCTATCGATATATCCTAAGAGCAGGCATACCACGTTGCTGACAAGCCCAGCAGTGCCAACAGACCCACCTATTTAATCCTCTATATGAACTATTGGAATATCCCTTTCCAACTTTAGATGAAATTTGTTTCTTATCGTAGATGACACAGCAAAAAATATCCTATAACGGTAAAATAAAAAAAGTAATTATTCGTACAATAGAAAATATGAAATGTGTTAGACTTGAAGATATTCAACATTATTTTCCTCAAGTGACCACATTAACGACAGATGATGATGAACAAATACCATATTTATGTGATGATAATGGACAAACATCATCACCTTTTAGAATTAAAGCTGATTCACAAAGAATATTTTACTGTTATGAATATAGTGAACAGACAACAACCATGGACAATAATTTGTATAAGTATAATCAATTAAACGAAATTCGAAGAAACACAGACATATTAATAGCAAATACTAAAAAGCTTGAAACTAAAGCCGATACAATAATAACAAATACTGATCATTTATTACGATTAATGTATGGTCTTGCTGAATATACTATCCCACGTATGTTTATTGTACTACCACGAAAATATTGTCGTTGGAATCCAATTAATTTATTTCGTAATTCCTATTGTTTATATTTTTTATGTGAATGTTCAGAAGAAAACGATAAAATACATTTTGCTATTCATGAGGGTTATGAAATTAAACAACCTAAACAATTTTTTATCAAATATGGACAGCATTTAGCTAAAATAATAACAATTGCTCGATGTGCATTAGTATTGGGTAGTGCTGTATTACCGCCTTTGGGTTATGTCGGTGTGAGTTTACCAACACCAGAATTTTTAGAAAATAAAGAGTTTTGGGAAACATTAAGTACAAATATTGATAAAATGAATTCAATGTTAAATAAAATATCACAAACAGATTTATTATCAGATAGTTATAATAAACCAGCAACAGGTGTTGAATTAAGAGAATTAAAACAATTTTTAAAACGCTTTGATGAACAAGAAACATTAGGTAATTTATATCGTGCAACAACATCAGATGGTCATATCAGATGGGTATGTAAATATCATTATGATGAATTATTTGTTCAACAAGAAACAAAAGAATTTTTAAAACGTTTTCGATCATGGGGTGGCGAATATATTGAAGAAACAGGTGACGCTTTGATTAAAGATTTATTAAATAGTAATGATATAAGAAAGTTATGCTTAGATTTAATTGGTACAGGACCATTAAATTTATATAAATTAATAATAAAACAATGTAAATTAAAAGAAAATGAATTAGAACAATTAATAACAACAATTGATAAAACATTAATCAAACAATTAGAATTTTATAATATACTTTTGACAAGTACATTTGGATATAAGAAACAACTGAATATAATACAAAAATTAGAACAATGTTTAGAAGAAAATAAAAATATTAAAATTATTTATCACATAGATCATGTCGATTGGATGTTGTCCAATAATGAGGATTTAAAATTAATTTTAAAATCTTTAAATACAAAAAATAATTTAACTGTTCATATAAATATGGAAAACAATGAAACTAAATATCGTATAATCAAAACCGATACAACACTTGTCATACATCTTCCAAATATAGCTAATGAAATTTTAATCGAGACTCTAAAAATGAATAATAACACTAGTAGTAAAATAACTGATTTACATTTACATAGAATTACAGATGATAATATTAAAATAATATCTGAATATCTAGGAACAAATATAATACTAAAACAATTGAATCTAAGTGGTAATAGACTATCCGGCGATTGTATTAGAATTTTATGTAAATCATTAGAAACCAATACAACGTTAACACATTTAATTTTAGAACGTAATGATATATGTGATTATGGTGCAGAAGCTATTGGCAACATGTTAAGAGTCAATTGTTCATTATTACTATTAAATTTAAAATTAAACCGTATTACAGATTATGGTATGAGTAAAATAAGTATTAATTTAAAATTAAATAAATCATTAAACGAACTTTGTGTAAGTAATAATCAAATAACAACAGAGAGTATAATTACAATGAGTAAAACATTAATGGTAAATAGGACATTAAAAAATCTTGATTTTAGCCATAATCAAATAGCTGGAAATGATCATATTCATCAATTATTAAGTGTGCTTGAATCATTAGATTTAAGTTACAATAAATTGGGTAATGATTGTCTTCAAACAATCCAAACATTTCTATCAGATAAAACCACACTTTCATTAATAAAATTAAATTTTGTATCAAATGATATATCGAATGATGGTGCAAAATACTTATCTAAAATTCTAATGGAAACAAATTTCTTAACATATTTGAATATTGGATATAATAAAATATCTGATCAGGGTGCTAAATTGCTAGCAGATGCATTAGTAAAAACTGAATGTTTACAATATTTTTCCATCAGATGTAACCATATGTCATCCAGTGGTATTGGTTATTTAATTAAATCATTAGAACAAAATCACACAATATTAGAATTTGATATTGGTATGAACGAAATATCTGACGAAAATATAGAACAATTACAGAGAATATTATCAATCAATAATACATTAACGACATTAGATTTAACAAATTTGAGTTTAAAGGATCATTCACAAAGAATGGCCAAGTTTTGAGATAAGCGGAATCAGCCAAACAGGATCAGTGCGGATAAGGGGAGAGGTAAAATATTTCAGGATGGCCAAGCGACTTGAAAACTTTAGGTTTTCTGTTCTCAGTATTTTCAGTGATTGAACGTCAGAGTCTACTATCCATTTAAAAATACAACGTAGTCCATTGTATGTCAAAATTCGATTGATCAGCTGTTAACCAATCAGGTGAATTTTCAAAGGACACTTTGTGGATGGTATTCTGGAAATATCTCTCATTTGATTTTAACTTCCAATGTGACCATTCGGTAGAGATTGAAAATTGTTCTCTTTTGATCTACGTAGGGTCGAGCTCGCTAGCTTGTTCGAGTCAGAAGCTACAAGAATTCTCCTGAGAGCCCCGAAATCGACTAAATGATCTTTAATTGCTCTAAAATGGATGAGCATAGGTTAATGGGTCACGCTGAGTCGACTGATGATATTCATTTTTAATTTCAAAGCGATATGCGGTTACTAAATTAAGATTTTCGAAATATCCGCTCTATATGCAACAGCGGAATGTTGGACTTTCGAAAACCTTAATTTAGTGACATCATATCGCTTTGAAACTAAAAATAAACATCATCACTCGGCTCGATATGCTCGGCTCTGTGTAGATCAAAAGAAACCAATTTCTTCCCTCAAATGGTGAAATTGGAAATCAAAGTCAAATGGGAAATATTTCCAGAATACCGTCCAGAAAATGTCCTTTGAAAAGCCACCATTTGCCTAATAGCTGACCAATCGACTTTGGACATACTTGTATGCCTCCGAGATTGCTCGTACGAATGGCAAGGACCGCAGATCTCTCTCTTGTTCCTATGAAAAATTATTCAAAAAACAATGGACTGCCTTGTATTTTGAAAAGGATAATAGTAGTATACTAACGTCAAATAAGCACTGAATTTGTCTATATATCAGATGCAATTAATATTAATCGCTTTCTACCCATCTGCACAAAATGAATGCAATTGTCTATGAATGGTGAAGTTATACGTTATACTTCCGATTGCAGAAATACAGTGTTATGTCAGTCGTCACTGCCGTCACTGACATTCCTTCCTCTTTCTGCTTTTGTTTTCATTTCTCATGACTACAAGCAATGTTGACTCAGGTCTTGTTGAATCGGCATTCTTTCTTCATATGTATATATTGTTTGTTCGTACACACTAAAGGAAGTGCTTTTGAATAAACCATTTGTACATACAAGTGAAGATTCGAACAAGTTAGGCGGAGCCTAACAACTGGTGCACTAGCCGCCTCACTGCCAATCCAATATCACAGTGAACGACCCGTATTCGTGCATGGACAACACCACACGTCAATATCATACACGAAGCAACGCACACTCACAAGAGCTCGCCTCACTCGCCAACACTGAACGAAAACCGGTCCCAACTAGTAGACCCAAGTCACTCGGTCATAACCAAACTGTGAACATGTATGAATCAATAAGCGACGATGACATCCTCGAACCGATCGGCGAGAGTCAAGACAACGGCGCTACCATTCACATGATTCCGCTGTCACCACCATCGGCAGCCAAACTTGATCATCTCGCTTGCCATCTGATTCAATATATATCACAAATGGCTAGCCGGCGCGTTTCCATTTTATTGTGGCATTAATCATGGAGCATGTTGACGTACTATTCTTGCAGGGTGGCATATTCGTGGTGAAATGGGGCATTCTTATTACTGTGGCATTAGAAAACTAACCGGCGTGTTATTTTCTCCTAACACACACACAATGGAATTCGCCGAAATACCACTTGCTCAACACGACCATGTGGCAAATTCTGTGATACAATGAGTGTTGGTCAAGATGTTGGAGCACGCGTCCGCGTTTCTGGTCTACTCCGGAAAATGGGATATGGGAGCAATCACTTATTACCGGCTTACGAGCGCTTGGTTTCGCTTTTCTGTTTGTTTTCTTCTTTTTTTCGTTTTGTTTGTTGCCACTGCTTTTTCTGATGAGCCAGGAGGCGTATCTCGAGTCCTGGGAGTATTATGTCAGTCCTATAAGACAGGTAGCCCAAACAACACTAGTTAAACGCAATTAAACGTGTAAGAAATAAGCAGCTAATAAAAGATTCATCAAAAAGAAAATAATCATTGCAAAGAATAAAAAAAGTGTCTTGGCCTTCTAGCGTGCACAAAATCGCACAATTTGAGCAAAAGGAGTAGGGTCTGAAAAAGCCCGTTTTTCGTTGCTCTTCGTTTATGGATGATCTCTAACAACAGAACATTTAGCACAAATAATTAAACCATTAGAACAAAAAAATAAAACATTAACAACAATAAATCTATCTCATAATCAACTATCAAATATAACTTCAATAATTACTATGCTAACTACGAATCAAACCACACATCATATAGATTTAAGTTCAAATTGTATTACAAATAAAGAAATTCAATGTTTATTAGAATTATTTGATATGAATAATACAAATGGGACATTGAATGTATTAGATCTACATGATAATAAACTATCTGTAGAATGTGAACAACGATTAAAACAAATAGAAGAATCAAATAAATGGATTAAAATTATTTTATGAAACATATTCTTTTCTTTACATCTTTTCTGTTTGATTTTTGGTTTTGGGTGCGTTTCCTTTTTACAACGAATGAAACTGATGAAAGTATTTTGAATCTGAAGTGTAAAGAAAATCATAACGGCTGAACTTACAAAAACCGATATCTTAGTGACTAACACGTCCACAATATGATACTAAGATACCTAATACTAGTTCTTCTTCAACAATGTTCAAAAATTCCTTTTTCTCTCCAAGAACTACTCTTGGAACGCCGTGCCACTGACATTAGAAATTGTAAAAGCTTACTTAATTTTCGACCATCACTGAAGAATTATTTGTAAGGTGCAGCTAATGCAAACTTATAGTGGAATTTATTCTTGACTTTATTATACATATTCAGATTTAGCTTAACGAGCTGATTACGAATAACAGCTTCCGAGCCTCCAAAAGCCATTCCTTCATGGAGAAAACTCAAATTACTGAGAGGACCTCAAAAATTCAAAAAATCGTCCTCTATGATGAAATTGACTTTTTGAGCTTGTATTACAAGATGGAAGGTTTCAACTATATTTTTCTGACTCAGCATTGAAAACTGATTTAGAAAAAGTTTTCAATTTATTTCAGAGATAAACAGCCGTCTGTCATGGACGTCGGAACCAGCGGCTGTCAACTGGGTATGACATTTTGTAAACCTATCTAGTTTTTTTGGATGAAGGGCTTCTCAGCAAGAAAAGAATTTTGAAAAAAGCTCTCCATACTTTTAAAGCTGGTGTGTTGACCGATCGATCATATGTGAACCATTGATATAGCCCTGGTATTATGTATAATCAGATTCCAATTGTTTTTTCTCAGTTAAATGCAGATCTTTCTAATAAACAACTCTCTATTACAAATTTATGTCTATGCGGTGCAGTTGAAACAAGAAAACATTATATGCTTCATTGCCCGAGATGTGCAGAGAATAGAAAGCTGTTTACAAGACATGTCGCTTAATGCGTTAATTGATGATTGACTGTCCCTGTCTCGTCTTACCTTAAAAGTTCCTCTCTCACCTTGTAAGCAGCAATTATAGTTATTCTGTGTAATTGACATTGAGTTTCTTGTTAATCACACTTAATGACATTCACAGGGATTAAGCATTTTTGTGCTATGTTCCTCCACAAATACAAACTAATATATGTATCTTTCCTTTTTTCTCTTTTTTGAAACTTATATATACACACACAACACATTGTTTCTTCGTTTTTATTAACTCTAGTTATTTAACATTTTCGTTGATATAACTTTTTGATTTGTTTTAACTATAAGCACTAATCTGCCTACACCTGATATAATGGATTTCCCCTTCGGAGTGGGTGGATTAGTTTCCCTTCTTAGTTGCAATAAAGCTTAAACTAAATAGAATAACTTGGTTATGTCTTAAATCCTTATAACGTCTGAACAAAGCGTGGGAGAAAAAAGATTGTTATATTCTTACCCAGTACAGCGAGCATTACAAACTAGACTATATTCCATGACTCTCACCCTCAAAAATAATTCATTAGAAAGCTGTTAAATTAAGATAGTAATTCACCTTCAAAACTCAGCATTACTCTACTACGAGCCAATGAGAGAACCTTAATGAGAAGGTTCTCGTCGTTCGCGCAGTGACGACAAATCACGGTGAAAAAGTTTTCCGACGCGTAAATCGCGTTCAAAAGTTTAAAGTTTTAAAAATGCCGAAGGATTTTCATTACTCAAATTCTGGCGGCTGATATGTTGTGTTCTATATCACCTTTGCATTACGAGTACCACATTAATTAGTTCTGCTCGGTTTTAAACTACGACCCTACTGTAAGGAAGATTCCTCACTGTATGAACGGTCTATCTAACGTTAGATCTGAGTTTATCGTAGAATTTATGAAGGGAAGACTGCCGTAAACAAAAACCTGCTTATTAACTTATTGGTTTAAACCTTTAGATAAAGTATTTTCATATTGTCTTCCATGTTTAAATTCTTGGCCGTCTCCAAATATAACTACATTATTCATTACTCCAGTAATACTTCCACTGCTTCTTCAGAAGCCAATTTTTCTATATATGGACTTGTATTTGCTGATTGTCTAATATATGTTTGATCTCTAACATGAATTATCTCCTAGAAAATATGATTCTGAATAAATTTATAGAATTCAGAAACATAATTTTATCGAGTATCTTCAACAAAAATGTAATACTTCCCTCTGTTTGCTTTATTCTCTCACAATATGTATACGTATATTTTGTCCGAAGCAAAATATTTTTTTTTGAAATATTCTTGAATAATATTTTTGACGTGTTTCTGAATAAATTGAGTGAAGGCAATCGAATTTTCGTCATTATTTATGCAAGAATAACCTTCTGACAAATCGGTAAACTGAATGGTAAGAAAAAGTTTTCTTTTCTTTTTCTAATACATAATTTAGTGCAAAAAAATTCGCTTGATGTCGAAACAATGCAAGATAATATGTCACTTCGTCAACATCTTTTTCGAGTACTTTGCCAAAGGAAAGAAAAAAGTTACTTTCTTTCAAACACCTTACAAAAAAAGAACAGCAGGTAAGAATGTCAAATCGAAAACAACATAGCATAAGTCTTTCTACGAACTAACCAACATAGGATACAAAACTTTAAATACTGAAGCAGCCAGTTTTTTTCCATACTCCTGAACTCTTGTTAGAGAAAACTACGTAAATCCAAAATTAACTTTCTTACATATAACGGGTGGATTAATCAATGTAGGTTTTGTTATTCCGTATCACATTTTCTTTAGGTAAAATGGCCTCCGCAATGACATCGAGAATGTGCCAAATGGAGTTTTGTAAAAGAGATGCCGCAACACTATGTTTTCATTGTACTAACGAAGTATGCAAAAAACATTTTATAGAACATGCCAATTTGATAATGGTTGAAGTTCATTCACTCGCTGACCAAGTGAATATTCTTGCAGATGAAACTAGTGCAAAATCCATCTCAAATATTACTAAACTTCCACTGGAAGATCTAGAACGCTGGAAAAATGAAAGTCATAAGATGATCGATGAATTTTACACCGAAAAACAACAGGATATACAAAAAATTTATTTGCAAATAGAACGCAAATTTACCGACCAGAAGATTGAACAAGAACAACTGATTAAAACACTTAGAGAAAAGATTGCTGATCTAGTAGAAGAAGGAGAAGCAACACTCGACCAAATTAAACGATTACAAAATTTAATGGAAGACATTAAAAGGATGTCAACTAAGTTCGACACAAATATCATTGTCGTTAAAACAAAGAAGAACTGGTTAGATAAGAATTCTTGTATAATACAACACAATTTATCAATGGTAACAACGGCAGATTCGTGTGAACAACTCTTGACGGACAATTCGAATAACTGGGATGCCACATGCTTTGATTTATCGAATGGAATCTCATATCCACTCATGCTAGAAAAGGAGGAAGAAAAGGATGTAACATTCGCTGTGTTTGAAGCAGATCCTCAAATGCAATCCAATCGAACGATTGAAAGGCTCTGTGAACCTTGGTGCTGTAACCCGGCGTCGGAAAACGAAATATTTTCGTCTCCACAACAGCAACATGCTCAAAATGGTCTTCAACAAGAACAGCAATTCTATCAACAAAATAATTTATATCCTGCAAATGATTTGTATGGTCTATGCTCTAACAACGTCAACAGCCTATCGCAACAGTCTCAACAATGGCCATCCTCTCAGAAGTCCAATGATCGCTCGATTACTCAAAAATTCAAGGATATGTTGCAAGAAGAACAACAAAAAAGAAATAATGACAACAAACATAACGAAAACAGAAATCCAATTCGATCCTTAAAATCAATAGGTTTATCTAAGCCGAAGTATAAGTAAACACATACGAAGAGCAAACACTGAATGGAACATTACCATTTTCAGATATTCTTATAACACGAAAAGATAATGGTTTCGAAGTAGTGAAACCTGCCGAGTTCATAGCACTAGCGGGAAATTTTTCAATCGTCGGATAGTCCGTTCATTTCTCGACGAAATGAAATGCCTCTCAGGACCTCAGAGTTGGTTTTCAAGAAATAACATCAAGATTCTTGAAACGCTCACGAGTGAAGTCGTGAAACTCTCTTCGTTTTTTCTCACTTGGAAACATTATAACTGAGCGGGTAGAATATGAAAAATCTTTTGTGCTGTAAATGCCTTGTGTTTTATTGGTGTGATGGAAAATAAATATTAACCCTTTACACCCGAAGACACTTTTATTATAGCTGCAGCTGATATAACTACTGCATTGAAGCTTACAGTTCTTCGGTACATCCTTGTTATATCTGGACTTAAGTGACGTTGCTTTGCTGCGTGGATACATGATGTCCCTTGGAAGGGACATACCGGTGTAACGGCATGAATTTTGTATATTTTTCATTGTTATTCCGAACTTCTTTTTTTGCCCTAATATACTAGTATAAGTTTCAATTCTTTACTCACCGGAAAAATTTTCGATAGAAACAAACGTTCAGACGTATTTTTCTTTAATTTTTCCAAAAACATCGTGTCTGAACGCGTTTTTCAAATCAAGATGGTCCTAAGGGCGCTTCTAAAAGAGCTTTTTTATCTCAATGATAGAAAAGTATGTTCGGACGCATCTTGCTTTTTAAAAAGCTGAAGGTAGTTGAGACGCGTCTCAATTTTGTTCAGTATTTTAAACGCACTTAGATGGATTTCTTATATCGATCAGAGAAAAACGCATTTACATTTGGCGGCGACGGTATAATAGTACTGGTTACATCTTTTTTCTTCATTCACTCGTCTTCAGATGTGTAGCGAGTGATCACAGAATGATCCACGCTAACAAGATGTCAAGAAAAAAATTCACTTTTCATGTCGTTACACCCAAATGTCCCTTCCAAGGGACAGTGATTTCATAGCGCCTTTACGCAAAGAAGAATGCTACAAAAATTTCTTCTTTGATTTCATTATAAAGTAAATCCATACAACCAAAACTATCAACTACAAAATTAGAAAATGGTTTAGTGGCTACAAGTATAGAAAATATTTAAAAACAAAAATTCATTTCTGAACTTCATTCAATTTTAAAATTCAAAATANTTGTCTTACATTAGTAATAATCTAGCTTTTTGGCTGATGATCCGCTCTTTTTATAAATCTATTATATCAACGTCCCTTGGAAGGGACCGGCGGGTGTAAAGGGTTAAGTTTTTCGAAAGGGGAGATAACAAGTGAGAGATTAGTGCTACCAATTAAGATTCTCCAGTATTGTGTATGTTGTCGTTTGTTTCGCTTCTTCGTTCCCTTTTCACAGTGCTTTAAGCTTCTTGTTGTTTAATCATGTTTACACGAGCTTATTTATGATAAATTTTAAGGTTTTTCTGGAGCTGTTCTAAATAACCGATGAGTTTCTTGAAAATTAATTCTTGTCCAGCAGCATCCGTTGATAATTGAGGTTTTCTACCAAAAACGAGTTCGTAAGGCGAAAAACCTGTTGTTCCGTGAATCCCGGTGTTATACGTAAATATAACTGCATCTGGCACCTCATCCTAATCGTTGATTTCTTAATTTGTTAATTTAGCGATAGCAGAGACGAACGTAGCATTAAAACGTTCCACCTGCCC